GTGGCGTTTTTCCTTCTTGGGTATTTCTCAAACAGAAGTCGGTGCCTGCTATTTATGCAAATAGCTAGGTAACTCAGCCATAACCGACCACCAACCAGCCATAGTTCAGTAGAGTTTTTCAGGTGCACATTAACAAAGTAAAATTCAAAGCAAATTTGGGAGACCGCTGCCGCCACCGCTGTCATTGTCGCCCGCTCCAGACGCTGGATCCGCTGCCCGCTCTCGTCACCCACGCCGGATCCGTCGCCCCCATGCCTCCCCATCGCCACCGACGCCACCCTCTTCTCCGGCCGTCGTCCCCGTGGTCGCCGGCCGAAGACACCCCTAGCTCGTCTCCACCGGATATCCAAGGGGAGGGAGGGGAAGAGGAGAGGAGGGGCCACGTGCCGCCATATCCGCTGCCTCCATGCCTCCCCACCGCCGACGAAGCCACCCTCCCCTCCGACCGTCGTCCCTTGGTCGCTGGCCGGAGACCCCCTCCCCTCTGCCAGATCTGCAAGGGGAGGGGCGGCGATCCAGCGCCCCCCCCCCCCCCCCCCCCGCCCACGCCACGCACTCAGAGAGGATGGGAGGAGAGGAGATGAGAGAAAGAGTGATGGACTGATGAGAGAGATTAATAAAATGAGAGAGTAGGTGAGAGATGAGAGGAGGAGTAATGGAGTGAATAATAAAAGGAAAAAGGTAGAGAGAGTAGGTCAAAATTTTGAAGTGTATGGGAGAGAATGCATTTTTGCGTGCGGTTCAGTTAAGACGTCCACCTGCGAAAACAGTCTCATTTTTGCGTGCGGTTCACTTAATACGTCCGTCTGCGAAAATTAATTTTTCCGTGTGGTCCTCTTATATAAACCGCACAGGAAAATGAGCCAATTTTCCCATGCGGATCGAGTTACCGCCCACATGCAATCTAAAATGGTCCCTGTCCAGGAAAATCATTTCTGTAGTAGTGCTTGGTGGTGGTTGAACCTGGATTGTGGACCCATATACTTGAATTCGTGATGATTCATTCATCACTTCTGAAATGCAAATTTTGCCCAAATATTTGTAGTTAGAATTATGGTATTGTCTATTTTATATATTGTAAATATGGGCAATATGTATCTTGAATTATGTATTTAGTTATATATAACACAACAATTCAAACAAATTGAGAAAACGACATGTAACTCAGGAGTTGTGATCATTTAACTATCTGATTATTATTTTTTTATTGTTAGCTAGAAAATAGGAGAAGTTTTCTTAGAAAATAAGAGAGGAGAGGAGAGGAGAGTCAGAGGGTGGAGGGAGTATACGTGCATGCGTACATATGGTATGGTGGGGGTGGCGGCATATGGGTGTTTTTTTAATCTAATTGTTAAAATTACTGGATCATCTATTTAAAGGATCATCTATTTATTGGATCATCTAATAGTTAAAATTATCATATTTTCTATTTTTTTCGAATTTATTAGAGCATCATGTGGTAACATAGGAGCATTTGTAAAGCGTTGTATGGTAGCTTAAGAGCATTTGTGACATGTTTAGTAAAATTTTAATATATAATAGATGACATGAGCTAACCGGCAGGCACCTTCTATCCAAAATAATTTAAATTTCTCTCAAGATTTCTGTCTGCGTAGTCGCAAAAGGCCTGTAACTTTTACCACGACTCCATCAATCCTATAGGTGTGGGAAAAAATACGTTCTAGCTGATGTTACATTCCCACATTATATAGATTCCATGGAACAGCAGAAATTCCTAGTGCTTTCCATTCCAAGGATCCACAACTGTTTGAGACTAGCAGTAGTGAAAAAGCAAAATTGTAATTCCAATAATTTCACAAGAAAAAAATCATGTGTGGTCTTTCATTGATCAATATTTCTCAAATAGAAACAAGGGCATGGCATTTATACAAAAAAGCTTAGTAACCAGCCATATCAGCCATAAACCGCACACGAACTAGGCAACCACCCATCAACTTCCCAGGTATATTTTAGTGAGCAACTTTATGGTCCTTGAGGAGGTACCACGAGGTACCATTTTTTCTATTGTAAATTTAGTACCTCTTTGTACCTAGGTACTATAAGATACCATGAAGTACCAAATTTTACGCTAAATTTTTGGTATCTTATGGTACCTTCTCAAGTACCGTAGAATTGCTCTATTTTAGTAGTACGATCTTTCAAGGTTTTTTGTTTGACTGCTTGCTCTCGTGTTCCAGCGTGTAACAACGAGAGCAAGAAGCCAGAGCTTCGTGGAACTTCTAGGAAACTCTTTTGTAAAATGAATATTTCTGGCCGCTAATCGTATGTCCATTTATACAAGTGGATAAAAAACAGAAATATAGTTTTTCCTAATGTCATTCAACATTTAGTCCTCTCTGTATACATCAAAGCAATCAGAAAGAAACATGAACAGCGTGACAATGCCGCTGCCAACTTGCCAAGCTGATGACATATGGTGGGAGATTTTATATTTGAAACCACAGGTTGAGTACCAACAGGATGAATCAAAGAAGCAACCGAATTGGGCAGTCAATATGTTTATTCAAACCTAAACATGCCATTTTTAATCGATCAGCCATACAATTACAGAACCTCACTATCGGCCTACAAATAAGCGCTGTACAATACTACCCAACAAGAATGCAAAAATGAAGCCCAATACTCTGCAAAAATGCAGCCCAATAATCTCTTTGTGTTCTGCTGAATAGTCTTGCCGTAATCTCCTTCGTATCAACTGATCGGCTTCACAGAGTCTGACTAATTATCTCTCAGGTTCGACGTCTCAAAGCTTTCACGTCTTTAGACCCCTTGCATTCTTGGTGCCAAGTCTCAGCGCAATCTATGAAGTTCTGTTCTTGAGTAACCCAGCTAAAGCTGTAGACGCTGCAATTAGAATTCCTAACGCCCCACATTCCAAGAAATCGCTAGCATATGTCATCTGCACAGAACAAGCATGCAATTTCTCATTGATATATATCCCCTCCAATCTTCATTCCTAGCTACTCTTACAAGGAAAACATGTGCTGCTGCACGCACTGTCCATGCATAATTGTTTGCATTCTACATATGCATATATAGTACCAAGCAGACATACCTAACATCTCTCATTGTTATTGAACACTTCTCAACTACCTGCAGCCAACTGTTTTCTATGGAGGACCTACTAGTGTACATATATACGAGTTGCTCTATATATTCATTTTTGTCGTTGGTATAGCAATTAGCACAGTAGCACCACAATGTGTCATGACAAAGGAGATTCTCTTACCGTCTCAATATCAAAAACAGGTGTAGTAATTAATATGAAACATGAGAAGAACTTCTCATAGCCACAATGTAATAAGACAACATACCCAAACTAGCGGAGGCATGAACTTGTAGTAGTGTACTACTACATCCGTCCCAAAAATAAAAGATTTTATATGTTGAGACACATTCCAGTACTATGAATATGAAAAAGGGGTCTATCTATATTCATTGTACTAGAATATATCATATCTAGATCTAAGTTTGTTTTTTGTGTGATGGAGGGAGTAAGTTGTCTTCCCTATCCTCAACCATGTCTTTCTCACTACAAATATTTTACGTGCAAACATGCTGATATGTTGTGCTCCTCCTGTTCAATTCACGTTATTTATTTATGCAATATTTGCGTAACTCGGTTATAAATAGTACTACCTCCATTTTTTAATAGATAATGCCGTTGACTTTTTCTCACATGTTTGACTATTCGTCTTATTCAAAAAATTTACGTAATTATAATTATTTTGTTATGAGTTGTTTTATCATTTATAGTACTTTAAGTGTGATTTATATCTTATATATTTGCATAAAATTTTTGAATAAGATGAGTGGTCAAATATTTGAGAAAAAGTCAACGGCGTCATCTATTAAAAAACGGAGGTAGTACCATCCACCGAGCGGCGCTTTTTCAAGAGTTTACATTTCAGTACAATGCACGCATATTTAAAGATAGTCACTTCTAGAATATTTCCTTCTGATAATAAGGAACATACATATTTTGCAAAATGTTGGAAGAGATAGTGCATCTCAACAAATTTTTTTTTTGCACGAAACAGCCAAAATCTTCTGATCCAACTTAATTAAAGAGACGAAGCCAACCTAGATTCTTAGACATAGACATAGACCCAACAATCAAACAAATAACTAATAACTTCAATACAAATGCAACAAGTTCTACAGTTATGTTTGGCACGGGCATCATGCATGTTTTATGGGCCGATGTGCCGCATGGCCAGCAAACAAATGGATTGTGCAGTTGTCATCTTCACAGCTTACTTACAACAGCAATCTTCTCGAACAGATCATACGAATCTATGGCTGTTTAAGCTTTACCCATTAGCAGCTACAAAGAGAAAAATCTGATGCTCTGAACCAACCCTAACAAGATAACGATATGAACAGACAGGCTGGCTTCCATCTAAGTTTCACTAAAGCTTTCTCTGTCCACACACTACAAGAATCCTGTTAATCCATGATGAAAAATTTCCGTCACGGATCACTGAAAAACCGTCACCAAACAACATCTGTGATGGTTTCAGAAATCATCACGGATTGAGCGTCATGGATTGACCTGTGTGACGGTTTGTCGAAAACCATCACAGATTAACAGAATCGGTGACGGTTTTAAACCGTCACGATGAAGCCCGTGGTCTAGTTAGTCCAGCCAAGCCCATTTCCTGTGATGAAAAATAACCGTCACGGATAGCTGCCACGTAGGATATTTCTCTGTCACAGATTAGCTGCCACGTAGGATATTTTTCCGTCACGAAATTGAATCACCACGTATGTGCCATGTGTTCGCCAAGGTGGACGCTGATGTGTCATCGATGCCATGTAGGATTTAGCCCACGTGTTTTGTGGCCCAATTCTTTTCCAAGAGCTTTCGGCCCATTTATGACCTAATGGTTTTTTTTTTGTTTTGGGCTGATTTTTTTTAGTGTTTTTTCGGCCTTTTAGTCATCATTCAGCCCAGCTCAAATTGGGCTACAGCTAGATTTTAGCCCAACAAAAATTCAGCTGCTGCTAAATTTAGCAAATACAAATATTTCGTCCATAATTTTAGCAAAATTAATTACTGATCATCAGTTGACATTCTCTCATCATCAGTAACAAAATAGTTATAGATCAGCACATAAATATTATAAAAACACATTACAACCTTCACATCTCATACAACATAATTTTTTAGCATATCTCATACAACATAATTAAAACCTGTTCAAAAGCACATGACAGTACCCAACAGCCACCAAAGCATTTTGGCCACTCCATCAAAGTTCGCATATGTTTGAGCCCAGCAACCTGATAGTACAATACCATGTGTTAGATTATTTTTTTATGCGCTAGAGAAACAACAAGAAACAATCTACAGATACGATATTAGTTTTTGAATGATAGGGCTACTTTGCAACACCAATCTGATGTCCCCATAATACATTGCACTAACAAAACTCAATGTCCCCATCACCAACCCACCTCATTTCATTGGCCAAGCAAGCAAGCAACTGATGCTATAGATTGAAGGAGGAAATAAATGTGGTCCTTTTGCAGGACAGAGCAAGAAATCCACAGTTTCTGAAGCAAAGAAACGCAACAAAACAGAACTATCAAAGATCTGTGTTATGTACAATTAATCTTTAAACATCTTAGTTCAGGAATAGCTCTACATATCACACGTACTGACAAAAACCTCTGTACAAGAAACTAAAAATCAAGGCAGTGCACAACTAGTTCAGAGTTGTTCTGAGTTCAGATAATTCACATCCACCAAACTATAGATAGATTCACAAACAACTAAAGTGGTTAGAGATATACACAGACAAATTCTACTGACTAGACCTGCTCATCATGGAAGCAAAACCAAAAATGGCATTTACAGCCATAAAACGACACTGCTAGTTTGGCTCCTTTTGCAGCTTAAGAAAGTTATTAAGTATATACATCAAACAAATCTACTTGGTTCATTTGCAGATTAAGAAAATGAGCAAGGATATACATCACCAAATACTTGTACTTACCAGCCAAAATTATTATCTTTTGCAAATTTACAGCCATAAACAAGGGGTTGATAGCAAGTTCCTAACTCATTTCAGATATAATGAAGTGCATCGACCATGTTGTGAAATTGAAAACTTCAGTGCATTCGTAGAACTGATTTCAATCTGAAAGAAAAAAAAACAAATTCAGTAGTAGATACACGTCTGGGATGCGGAGAACTGTAAAGACGGGAAGACCGCTGCAACTATGACGAGGAAGTGGATGACGACGGCCAGGACAGATGGGAGGCAGGCAGGACGTGCTTCTATTTGCACTAATTCAATCTATTAGAAATAAGAGAAAGAAGGGGGAGGAGGATGGGGGTACCGTGGGATGGATCTGGCGCCATCGCTCGCCTCCTCCTCGCCGCCTAGCGCCGCTGCACCAGACCACCGCCGCTCACCTCCTCCTCACCGCCGCACGCCGTCGAGCCCTCCTCACTGCTGCTGCTGCCAGAGGAGATCTCTCGCGGTCGCTGCCGAAGCGGTTGGCGGCCATGAGGATGCCCCCGATGGCGCCGAGCACCCCGCACGCGAGGAGAGCGGCCGCGAAGGCGATCTCCATGACGGGCGCGCCCTGGGCCCTCCCACGGCGCTGCCGACAAGGTCGTCCTCGTCGGAGATGGAGAAGGAGTGGTCCACGTACGCCACGCCTGGCTACCCTCGCCTCCTCCTCTGCCTCTGCCTGTCGGTGCCGGATCCGATCTATGAACTACTCTTCCCCACCTCCTCCTTCCGCGCTCGCAGCCTCGACGGCGCCGCCTCCACCAGCGATACCGCCGGCAGCGGGAGAAGGAGGCCTACCTCCGCGTCGAACAGCGCGTACTCGCCGCCAAACCATCTCCGCCGGAGGTTGAGGAGGAAGAGGATGCAGATTCAGATGGGGACTTGGCGGCGGCTAGGGTTGGGGATTGCTTCGTTTGATTTTGGATCGGCTAGGGTTGGGGAACATGGGTATGAAGCAACAACGGATGCGATTTTACAAGAATAGCCTTGGTGCATGTACTAGCTTCTGATACTATTTGGACAAGATGGACATTTCACGTCAATTTTGGCTTGACCGCGCGCAGTGGCCTGACCGCGATGCAAACCTGGGCGGAAAATTTTGGCGCTTGCCAGTATGTTTATTTTTGGCAAAAAAAAAAAAAAGATCTTGTGCTACTCGTACTTTTTAATTTTAATTCATGAGAACTTCAAATTTAATTTTAGGCTGATTTTTGTGTTTCAAATGCAAAAATCATAAATAACAAAATTGTAGAACTTATCGAAATCTACAACTATTGTATTGGTCCTTTTTACAAATAAGTTCATTTGAACAATTCCAATTTTGAATTTTCAAAATTTGACAACTTCGAACAAAAATTGGGGTAAATAAATGATTTCAAATAGAAAAGTCACCACAACCAAAGATGTAGAACTCATCAAGATGCAAAATTTTTATTTTGGTCATTTCTCCATCTGACTCTATTTGTACAATTTGAATTTTGAAATTCAAAGTTTGAGAACTTCAAATAGAATTTTTTATTAGTGAATGACTTCAACTGAAAAACTCATCAACAACAAAGTTGTATAATCCATCTAGATCTACAATTTTTATTTTGGTCATTTATTCATCCGGCATAGTGATTTTAACATTGTTAATAAATTTTACATATCTCCAAATATGGTTTCATAAATTATAAGAGAGATGTATACATTTTGTGAACAATGTTACTATCACTTTGTCGGATGAAGAAATGACCAAAATAAAAGTTATAGATATTAATGAGTTATACAACTTTGTTGTTAATGACTTTTTCAGTTGAAATCATTTACTATTTGAAAATGTTGTTTGAAGTTGTCATAATTTGAAATTTAATTTGAAATTCAAATTCAAATTATTGAAACAAAGTCATATAGCAAAATGTCCAAACCAAAAGTTGTACATCTTGACAAGTTATACAATTTTGTTGTTGACAATGTTTTCATTTGAAATCATTTACTACCCGAATAATTATTGAATTGAGAGGAGGGATGTAAAATAGACTTCTCAGCGAGGGAGGAGCAGAAGGGGCCGGCGGCCCGAAGAGAGTGGAGGAGAGAGAGGCTGCGGGCTGAGGGAGGGAGAGAGTAATACTTGGGCCGAAAAAGGCCCAAGTACAGAGAGAGGAATTTTAATTCGTTTTTCATTTATTTTAATAGGTTAAATAAACTTTATGGTATTAAAATTAGTTATTGCGCTCCGAAAATTTATGGAAAATTTCAGAAAAAAATTTAGACCACGTAGAATATTAAAAAAAATTGCGGCAATGATTTTTAAAGAAAAATTTTAGTTTCCTCGTTAATTCACTTGATTAAATTGTTTAAACCTTTAATATATTTTTTCTAGTAATGCAATATATAAATCTATGACGTTTGCTTCAACTATAATAAATTATAGAATCCTACCGTAACACACCAGACAACTAGCGCAGTGGTAGGATGGGTTATCTTCAACAAGAGGTCATGGGTAATTTACCAATTCGAGTTCTCTTTTCATTTTTGAAACGCCAACTCTCGAGTGACATTGGGACAAATAAAAATATTTAAGTGCACATTGGGACATCTAGAACAAGTGGTTCAAATGGTAAGACACGTTCCTACCTTCCAGCTAAGTTGTGGGTCCAAATCCCACATGCTGCAGATTTTACCCATGCGCACCATATTTTTTTAGTTTGCCATATTATGCATCATATACATGTAACAAATTAACAAAATTATTTTGTTCAAATTTAACAAATCGTATTTTGGGTTTGATTCTTCTTGCAATCACATTTTTTATTTTTCTTTGCGCTAAATATGTTTTATTTTTTATTGCTTTGGGCTAACTAGAGTATGACGAATTTAAAATCATACATTGTGACAGTCTTGATAAAACTGTCACAAGTTAGCGGGCCGTGAATATCCACTGGGCTGATCCGTGACGAAAAACAAAAATCGTCACGATTACGTTTGTCAGTGACGATCTGTAAATCCGTCACCGAGAATCCGTCATGGATTAACAAGTTTCTTGTAGTGACAATAGGGCCGGCCCGGGGGGGGGGTGGTCAGCCCGTGCGCAGGCCCGAGGCCCCCCAAATCCAGGGGCCCCCATGGCTAATGGGCCATGGCCCACGTTACCCCATATGCATCGCTACTTCCCAGGCCTAGGATCCTTTCCTATTGAAGACGGAAGACGAAACGAAGAGGAGCGAAGGAAAAGCGAAGCGATTTGACTCCCGTTCCCGTCGCCTACTCGCCTCGATCACGCCTCCTCCATCGCCTCGATCACGCCGCTGGCCGATCGCTCATCGCTACAGATGCTACGTCGCTCGGTCGCTGCTGGCTGCTGCCTGCTGGGGTGAGCTCTCGCCTCTCGGCTTCTCGTGTCGCAACTCGCAAGGAGACGAGGCCATCAGGCCAACCGCGCAACGGCGACGCACCCTCTGCCCTCATCGGCTGATCGACGTCTCGGCGCCACGCCTGTAGGCTATAGCCTGCTGCAGTGCTGCTCGAGGTAATTTTCTCCATCTTTTTTAGTTTTTTTCCTCTTCATAGATCAAAATTTATTAGCACTCGCACTACTTAATAATTCATGATTATTTTTTCAACACAACATTAATCATGTCGTTGAGAAAATATGCATCGGGTAGCGAAAAAAGGAAACAGAAAAAGCGTTTGAGATGTTCAAGCATATTAGAGATGTGGATTGTTATCCTAATCTCTCCATTGCTTATCAGAATAGTTCTATTTGAAGTTTTAAAATGTTATATATAGATAAATTTATCACATCGAATATTAAATGTTGTGTTTTTATGAGACTATAAATATATATATTAGTTTATGTGTATATATATATAAATGGGCCTCCCCTGGTCCGCATAGTTCTGAAAGGACTGCAGTTTTTACCACGACTCCATCAATCCTATAGCTGTGGAAAACAAAACGTTCTGGCTGAAGATACACTCCCACAATGCAGTGACATTAGGGAAAAGAGGAAATTCCTAGTGCTTCCCATTCTAACGATGCACAACTGTTTGAGACCGGCAGTACAGATACGGATGCAGCATTTGTAATTCCAAAGAACTTCACAGGAAAAATATCATGTGGCCTTTTTGCCTTGAATATTTCTTACACAAAAACCGGTGCCTACTATTTATGCCAATATACACTAGCCATAAACTGCGCAGCAAGAACCCATAAAACTTCTTATGCATAGTTTAGTACTACCTCCATCCCCGAATATTTGCATTTCACTATTAAAATTTTGTAAAAAAATGTTATTTCTATTGAGATGGGACCTAATAAATTAATTAGATTGATATACTAATTCCCTCACCCTTGTTATTAGTCAAGTTTGCAAGTATGTAATGTGTGCGTGCAGTGTGGTCATTTATATGTGGTGCTAATCTGTATGTAATATCCTAGAAATGCAATTATTCTTGGACATAGATAGTATAATCTTTCAATTTCACACCTAATAAACTATAATTCAAACCACATCTTTCAAACAGAATTAATAGCATAAAAATTTTGTTCCACCAAAAATAAAGAAACAATTAATACCAACATATTTATTTTCTCAATCTTACGCGTCATATTTTTTTCCACGATAAAATAAGATTCAACTTTCACATCTCCACGATGACCTTACCCGTGGCATGGCCGCCCATGCTCTTCTCCCACGCCTCCGCCGCCTTCTCGAACGGACACCGCGAGTCGACCACCGTCCTGAGCTTCCCTTCTCCGACGAGCTCCATCAGAAACCTCATCTCCTCCTTCCCCAGCGACATGAGGGCCATCATGGTTATCTTCTTCCTGGCAAACATGGTCAGCATCGCCGCGACGTAGTTCCCGGGGTTTGGTGTTATGTCCACCACCCTACCACGGCTGCTCAGGGTCGGCTTCATCGCCGACCAGTTGACGTTCATGGCGGTGTTGATGATGTAGTCGTACTTCTCGTCGGAGGCCGAGCTCGTCAGGGCGGCGCCTTGGGGGGTATTGTAGTCGAGGACCTCGTCGGCGCCGAGGGAGCGGACGAGGTCCATGTTGCGGGCGCCGCAGGTGGCGGTGACGCGGTGGTTGCCGAGCTTGGCGAGCTGGACGGCGTAGGTGCCGACGCCGCCGGAGGCAGCGGTGATCAGCACGTTGGCGCCGGTGCCGCCGGTGCCGTCGAATTTGGTCCCGATGGACATGAGGGCCTTGAGAGCTGTGAGGCCTGCGACCGGCAGCCCGGCCGCGTCGACGGCGGAAACTCCGGCGGGGCGGACGACGGTGAGGCTCTCCGGTGCAGCGACATACTCAGCGAGGCCTCCTCCTTTCTGTATTGCAATTATTATTCTGGTGAGAATTGATCATTTTCTTGATGAGAAGGTTAAGCAATAAAATTGTTACAAACTCTATTTTTTTAATGTACGACGGCGTTAACTTTTTTATAAAAATTAGATTATTTGGCTTATTAAAAAATTTTGATGATAAATTAAGTCATAATAAAATAAATGATTTTATAAACATTAGATTATTTGGCTTATTAAAAAATTTTGATGATAAATTAAGTCATAATAAAATAAATGATAATTAAATTTTTTAGATATAACGGATGGTCAAACATATCTAAAAAGTTAACGACGTCATGTATTAAAAAACGGAGGGAGTATTAAAGAAGAAATGCATCAGAAAATTCAGGTGCTATACATGAGATGAATCATGAACAAACTGGATGTTTGAAATTACCCAGAAGTTCAGTTTGGACAAAACTTTGTCACCAACTTTGAGCTCATGTACTGCAGAACCAGCCTCCACAATCTCCCCGGCAACATCAGTCACTGTTTCATGGAGTAAATTGAGAGATGAACTAAATAATATTAGATTATTCCATTGGTGTTATATACTTCATCACCGGTCAAAAACTGAATTATCTTCATAACTAAGAGTGTGCATTACTGAAATAGACCCGTTCATTTGCAATCAATTGCACATAAATATATGTGTTGTACGAAGAGTACCTTTTGAATTAGTACTTCTGTCTAGTTTCATAAACAAATGGTCCTTACTAATGGGTAAACACCTGGAATAAATGGAAACTTGGGAAGAAATGGGCGTAGCATCCCTTTCTGAATACTCCAATCAATCGGGTTAACGCTTGCAGCTTCGACTTTAATAAGAACTTCATGTTTCTTCACCGAAGGAACAGGGATTTCCACGTGCTGAAGTGAAACTAAACTGTATTTAAATCAATAATAGAATAAACAAATTTTACATACACATATGGTGTGTTCAATATTTTCTTCAAAAAATCATTGCTAGCTATATATTCTCACTTTGATGAAAATGTTCAGATAAGTCATGTCCTGGAAGTGTCGTCTATTTCTTGGAAGCAACTAGACTCATGAATTACAGATGAATCGGAAAATTGTACTAGAAATAAACAAAGTTCAATATAATCGACAAATGCAATTTTTCCAGGACAAAACGAAAAAGAACATGATCAAATTTTATGTCAGAGCAGTAGTGCAGAATATCCTACGAACTCGATCACTCGTAGAGCATTAAATCAGGAGGAAGAAGAAGATAGCAAACCTTGAGGGCACCGGCGCCGCCGCCGTAGCCGGTGTACTGCACCGCGCGCATGGTGGCCGGAATCCCGCCGCCGGCGGCCATAATCCCGAGCAATTCCTGAATTTCTCCTGTTGTCTGAACAAGTCAATCGATGATGATAGATGAATGCAGTCATCTGGGCAGTGTGCGTTTTGTACTAGATTAATTCTTGTGACTTAATGTCAAAATAAAATAAAATTCTTGTGACTTGGGCGTGAAGGGTTTGACCGGGATTTGATTCAATAAGCATTTGAATATATGGAAGCTCATCACCCAGGCGCTGATGTCATTGACAAGCGTCGTGCATGGATAATCAAACTAAGAACATATATATAATTAATTATATATGATCTTTTGATGGTTTTTGACGGCTTTCCTCCTCTCGTATACTATTACTAGCTACTCCCTCCGTTTCGAAATGTTTAACACCATTGACTTTTTATCATATGTTTGACCGTTCGTCTTATTCAAAAAATTTAAGTAATTATTAATTTTTTTCCTATCATTTGATTCATTGTTAAATATATTTCTATGTAGGCATATAATTTTACATATCTCACAAAAGTTTTTGAATAAGACGAACGGTCAAACATGTGCTAAAAAGTCAACGGTGTCAAACATTTCGAAACGGAGGGAGTAGGAAGCAAATATGTAAAATAAACATTTGAGACCACCGATTGTTTATGCGTGCAAGTATGTCAGTATAATAGAATAACAAAATAGAGATATTGTTTCTCATGTCATTTGATAGTTTAGTCCTCTTTGAATAGTGTAACAATGCCCGTGCTGACTTGCCATGCTGACGACGACAGACGGAGGGAGATTTTCTATTTGAAACCACACAGTGATTACCAGTATGATAAATTAAACAAGCATCGGAACTCGGCTAGTAGGCTGCCAACATATGCATTTTATTTCAAACCGGAAAATGCATTTTTTTTTTTTTGGTATGGATCAGCTACAACCACAGAACCTCAATTTCAGCCTACAAACGGGAACAGTGCAATATCCATCAAGAATGCACAATTCAAGCCCGATACTATCATGGAGTTTCCGTTTGGCAGACTTATTGTAATGTCCATCATGTCAACTAATCTTCTTCACGTAGCCGGACTACTACTGCCTCAGATTCAACTGCTCAAAGATTTCGCGTCTTTAGACCGCTTCCATTCATAGTGCCAAGTCTCAGCGCAATGTATCATGTTATGTCATTGAGCCACACGGTCAAATCTGTAGACGCTGCAATTAGAATCCTAAAAATGCCCCTCATTCCAACAAGCGCCAGTATCATTTGCGCAGCACAAGCTATTTCTCTTTAATATCCTTCCAAAAACACTATAGTTTTTACCATGGTCTCGTTAATCCTGTAGCTGTCAGATAAAAAATGTTCCGGCTAAGTTTCATTAACACAACTCATGGTTAGAACAGAACAGGCGAATTTCCTAGTGCTTCCCATTCCAACTACCCACAACTGTTTGAGACGGGCGCCTGTGCAGTTGTAGACGGAGCATTTGTACTTCGTTAAAAAAATTTCACAACGAAAATATCGTTTGGCCTTTTTTCTTTGTTCAATATCTTCTCAAATAGAAACCAGTGCCCGCTATTTATGCAAGTAGCTAGGTATCTCAGGCATAAACCGCGCACCAACCAGCCATAAACTTCCCAGGCATAGTTCAGTACAATCTATCGATTTCACATCTAGCAAATAAGTACTCCGTCCGTTCCAAAATATGAATGAGATTTTGGTTCAATGTAACACATCATAGTATGAATCTAAGATGTGTCACATCTAACTCAAATCCTTTATATTTTGGGATAGAGGGTGTACAAAAAAAACAGACAAAAAAATATTTTTGGGACGATCTCGTTTTGTTACTCCATTTTGGGACAAAAATTATACATTCAGACCAAAATATAATTTTCTCAATCTTTCCCATCATTTTTTTAGGACAAACTAATATATTACTTTCACATCTCCACAATGACCTTCCGTGTTGCATGACCACCGGTGCTCTTCTCCCACGGCTCCGCCGCCTCCTCGAATGGATGCCATGAGTTGGCCACCATCTTGAGCTTCCCTTCTCCGGCGAGCTCCATCGTAAATCTCATCTCCTCGTTTCTCATGGACATGCATGTTATCTTCTTATTGGCAAACATGGTCAGCACGGTCACGATGTAGCCAGGGGCGCGGGCCAAGGACTTTGAACTTGTGTATTCGAAATGGGAAGGGGTAAAAACTTTTTTTAGCTTAATTATACGCCTAAAAGCCTAATTATTAACTTTTATAGTGTGTCACACACTAATCATTATATAATATATAGCGTATATAACACAAAAAGCATAAATTCACACAACTTATTGATAGAATTGATCATCACTTGAAATTGTTTAGCATATAGAAATACTAATTTGTAAACATTTTAAAGTGCCAACATATATGAAATACATGGAGGATAGAAAATGATAAAGTGAGAAGAAATCTCACAATTATTTAAAGATCAACTTTTCAATACTTGATATTTTGAAGCAGCTCTCTCCAAAAAAGACTTTAAATCAACAACAGGGCCCTTCTTCCTTTTTCATGTTTCAGTTATGAAAATTAAACAAGATTCTATTTATACTATTATGATACAAACAACTAAGATGAGATCTCTGAATTACTATGAACAAATCCTACTATCCAAGGCTCCTAATCCTAGCTAACTGCCCAACAAGCTAATCAAGTTTGCAAGATAGTAGCTACTAACTAGGAACTATGAAGTATCAAGAATGAATTACTAAGTACAAGTACAAACTACAGTTCTACTCCCTCCATCCTATAATATAAGCATTTTTAACTACGAATCTGGATATATGTCTATCTAGATTCATAGTTAGAAGTTGTTATATTTTAGGACGGAGGTAGTACCAACTAAGCAAAAGCAAGTAGTAGTCTAGTAGATACCAGGTAAGTATAAGTGTAGTCAGTGAACTTTAGTTTGCTAACCTTAATGACTCAACAGTTCAAATGTTCAATCCCTCCTCGATTCCATGGCTTGCGGCTGCTTGGGACATATGTCTGTCTAGATTCATAGTTAGAAGTTGTTATATTTAGGGATGGAGGTAATACCAACTAAGCAAGAGCAAGTAGTAGTCTAGTAGATACCAGATAAGTATAAGTGTAGAACAAATTATGAAATCAGTGAACTTTAGTTTAATTTGCTAACCTCAATGACTCAACAGTTTAAATGCTCAATCCTTCCCTGAGTCCACGGCTTGCGGCTGCTTGGGTGCCTCCCTCCTAGTGGCCAGAGGCACAGGCATTATGCCCACGGCACTGCTGGCCGTTGTCCCGCACCAGCGCCATCGCCGACTCACCGTCGCGCAACTGCTCCGCCCCCCCGCCACACCGTCTCGCCAAGTCACGCCCCACCAATGCAGTTGCACCGGGCGTCTGCACTGCCGCCTCCACACACCATGCTGCTCTCGTGGCAGCACCGCCTTGATCTCTCGCCGATCGCCGCTCACCAGCCACCACCCGCCACCGCTGAGATAGGGTTAGGTGAGGGGGAGTCAGTTGAGAAAGGGAGTCGGCAGTGAGTGAGAGAGAGAGAGAGAGAGAGGATGATGAAGGAGGCTCAAGAAAAGTAGTTTGATTGCTTTTTGGTTGTTTAAGGCATTTTATTTATTTTTTATACATATGCGAAAGACAGAGTATATATACCTCTTTTTTCAAAAATCGTCAGTATATATCTGAATACCTTTGAGTCATAGTGGGCCCACCTTGGATGTAGTTCCCGGGGTTTGGGGTTATCTCCACCACCCTACCATGGCTGGTCAGTGTCGGCCTCATCAGTGACCACCCGATGTTAATGGCGAAGTTGATGATGTAGTCGTACTTCTCACCGGAGGCCGAGCTCATCAGGATGGCGTCCTCGGGGGTGTTGTAGTTGAGGACGTCATCGGCGTCGAGATAGCATACAAGCTCCATGCTGCGGGCGCCGTAGGTGGCGGTGACACGGTTGTTGCCGAGCTTGGTGATCTAGATGGCTTATGTGCCGATGCCGTCGGAAACCAGATGGAGAAGAAACATCATAGGAAATTCAAACACGATGACCCTATCGAGGCACGATATTTGGTACCGGAGTTCAGCTGTGGCCTACATCTCCAGGGCATTGATTACGAGTGCTCCTTTCCGATCCAAGATATTACAACGTATCAGTGTTACAATAACACTCGAGTAGATGCCACCAGCAGCCGCAACCTCTTACTATGCTAAGTCGCCTAATATGGTTACAACAGGTCCGCGTTTCTATTTAAAATAGAACCTCATGCTCATATTTCATATTAGTTAGTACACCTATTTTTGATATTGAGATGGTAAGAGAATCTCAGGTGCCATGATGCAGTTTGGTGCTACTGCGCTAATTACTATACCAACAAACAAAATGAATATATAGAGCAACTTGTATATATGTACACTAGTAGGTCCCCCATATAAAACAGCAGTGGCTGCAGGTGGTAGAGAAGTGTTCAATAACAAGAGAGATATTAGGTATGTTAGCTTGGTACCATGTATATGTAGAAAACAAAACAATTACGCATGGACAGTGCGTGCAGCATCTAGTGTTCTTGGAGAGTCGGTCAAATGATTTCCTTGTTAAAGTAGCTATGAATGAGGATTGGAGGGGATATATATCAATAAGAAATTGCTTGCTTGCGCTTGTGCTGGGGGCTTCTTGGAATGTGGGGCGTTAGGAATTCTACTTGCAGCATCTACAGCTTTGGCTGGCCTGCTTGATAGAATCGGCTAAGCCTTGGCACTGCGAATGCAAAGGTTCTAAAGATGTGAAAGCTTTGAGCCGTTGAACCTGAGACAGAATGAGTCAATGTCTGTGAAGAATATCAGTTGATACAAAGGAGATGACAGCAAGATTATTCAACGGAACACCACGATATTATTGGGCTGCATTTTTCATTCTTGTTGGGGTACTGTACAGTGCTTATTTGAAGGCTGAAAGTGAGGTGCTGTAATTGTATGGCTGATCCATTAAAAAGCACATGTTTATATAGGTTTGGATAAACATATTGACAGCCCAATTCGGTAGCTTGTTTGATTCATCCTGTTGGTAATCAACCTGTAGTTTCAAATATAAAATCTCGCTTCGTCACTCGTCATCAGCTTGGCAAGTTGGCAGGGGCATTGTCATGCTATTAATGATTATTTCTGTTCGCGTTTATCAATACAAAGAGGACTAAAAATCTAAAATGTTGAATGAACATGAGGAATAACAACATTTCTGTTTTTTACCCGTTCGTACGGACAAACGATTAGTGGGCAGAAATATTCATTTTACAAATTTGCTTCCTGTAACACGAGAGCAAGCAGTCAAACAAATACCATCAAAAGATATCAGTCAATTATGGATGGAGGATGCTTGTTAATGATATCAGCGATTGGGTGAGCTTCCACGCACACAAATGCTTATTGAATCTGACCCCGGTCAAACTAAACCCTTCACGCCCAAGTCTCAAGAATTCAGTACAAAACGCGTACTGCCCACTTGGCTCCATTCATCCAGCTCTACGGCCGAGTTTAGTTCCAAAATTTTTCTTCAAACTTTTAACTTTTTCATCACATCAAAACTTTCCTACACACACAAACTTCTAACTTTTCCGTCGCATCGTTCTAATTTCAACTAAACCTTCAATTTTAGTGTGAACTAAACACACCTGTTCAGCCAAGAGGAGAAGCTAGTTCAGAAAATTGCTCGGGATTATGGCCTCGATCCCCCGGTGGGATACCGGCCACCATATGCGAGCGGTTCAGTAAAGTGCGACAACAGCGGCGGCACCGGCCAGTATATTACTAACTAATAGGTATAGTCCGATTCTTACTCTATTTTTATACCTAGTACAACTCCAACTCCTAAATTGTAATCGATTTTGTACTTTAACACAAACTCTAACTTGGCAAATATGCCATGCCAACTTGAATATGTTACTTGTTCGAACCTTCGTGTAGTAGGATTTGAGTTGGTTCTCCTGATGTTCATGCCAAGCAGCCCAAACAGTCTACGCCAGGCTCGCCGCCTTCATGATTGTGCACAGCAACACTAGCATACCTACCCTCCATGACTTCACCTGCAACTTCCTTATGGCTTGTACAAACATGAGCTTTTCCTCTCACCATACATAATATTCTTTCTGTCCTTCATAATATTCATGGTCTACTTACTACAGTCTGCCTGACACAACCAACATATCTCATGTAGGCTTTTAAGCAAAATTAGACTACTCCTTATTGCTGGCACACATGTCTCACATCCGAAAGTAGCGTCCCATTTCTATCATACATCTTGAACACCAAACTTGACATCACCCGCTCAAACAACATGACAACTCATGTCATCGCCCAAGTAAAAAAAAACAAACTCACAAGATAACCACACCCATTCCCTAGGGCACTTGAATTGGTCAAAAGGCCAACCAAGGCTTAGCCAATGCTATTAAAATTTTACATGGAAACCCTTTTTATGTTCGAGTCCACATATTGATATACAATTGTAGTAACCATTAAATAATATTGCAAATGAACCCTCAAATCATTTTAATAAAAACTGTTCAATTCATAAATGCACCCTCAAATAACATGTAAAGACATTCAATATGGAGAGAGGGAGGTTAATGTCGATCCCTCAATAAACTTCTTTTATAATAAAGTCCTTCTGCACCCCTTAGGGTGTGTTCGGATGCCCCTCTTCCGAACCCTCTCCTTCGTTTTTCGCGCGCACGCTTTTCAAACGGCTAAACGGTGTAATTTTTGCAAAAAGTTTCTATACAAAAGTTGCTTAAAAAATCAAATTAATCCATTTTTGAAAAAAAAACTAATACTTAATTAATCACGCGCTAATAGACCGCTCCGTTTTCCGTGCAGAGGCACTATGTTCCCCACCTGAGCATGCGAAGTTTCGCGACCGACCGGATTTCGCGAAATTTCGATGTTTCGATGAGACTCGAAAGTAGAAACCGTCTGAGATTTCGAGAAGTTTCATCCAAAATTCAAATTTGCATTAATAAAAAAAAGAAAAAAACTAAATAAAATCTTATAAATACTATGATATTTATAGAACTTGTTGGGATATAAATTTTCGAAAAAAATGATGTATTGTGTGTATTTACTAAAACTTACATTAGGAAAGAAAAGAAGAAATAATTAAAAAAAAACACTTACATGAGCCAAAACTGAACGGAATTAAAAAAAGGAAAACACTTATTGATCGAAATTTTGATGATTTTGATCGGAATTTCGCCAAAACCGATCGGTTTTCGAGAACTTGTTGGCAAACTTAGGGAATTTGATTTAAATTTTGGTTTATGAAATTTGTTCGGAATTTACCGGTTTTCCACCGGATTTCACGAAATTCTGAATTCCGCCAGTGCCCGAAACGGAAGGGCTTGTCGGAATCGTAAACCCTGATGTGAACACAGCCTTAGTGCTACTCTTTTTCATTTTCCTCCCTTTCTAACGCTCGCTTCCACCTGTGTCCTCAGTCCTCATGCGCCGCCTACTCCCTCCTCTTGATCTCCACCATCTCGGCCTTCTCCCCCACCACGTCCTCTCCCACCTCTCCACCACCACCGTCGTCATGTCCTCCATCTCGCCGTCTCCATCGCTGCCTCCATCCTCGTCCCATGGGATCGATCAGGCAACGATGACGCAGCTTGATCTGGAGATGGCGTGTAGCAGAATCGTCGATCTGTTGCGGGGATGGGGACATGAGACGAGGCGGCGGCAACTACGCGTCATGAAAAATGTCAGCACGCCCTCCTCCATTCTTACTACCTAGCTTCCTAGCCTCGCCTCCACACTACTGGAGAAACCATCTTTGATCGGTCGGCTAAATTTCACAATAGTTCTGGTTCTTATAAAAATTGGGATTAAAAAACATCTTTAGTCCCAGTTTAAAAGCTCAGGGGTACTTTTTGATCTTTAGTCCCGGTTGATAACATCAACCGGGACTAAAGATCATTTTTAGTCCCGTTTCAAAAAACAGCAGGCAGAGATCTATTATAGTTTGATCGGGCAAAAAGATCGGCATACGCGGAGATCGAGGCGTGCGCATAGATCGGATCGAGGAGGGATGCGCGCGCGGTTTCTATCTCCTTCTCTCTCCTAGTTCAATCTCCTCCTCTCCTTTATCTCCTTCTCCTCCCCCCTCCCCCCCCCCACTTCTTTGGCAGGAGGCGGCCAGTGGCCAGGCTGCGGAGGGCCGGGCGGCCGGGCGCGCGGAGGGCGGCGCCCGGCGGCTGGTGGAAGGTGGCGGCCTGCGCGGTGGCGGACAGTTGTGCCTCTGCCGGATTTGTTTTTTTTTTTTTTTTAGAATTTGTGATTCGGATATGAGAAGTATTTGATTTGTGTGTGATGTGAATATGTGATGTAATTATGATGAATTTTGTAAAACATGTGATGTAATTGTTTTTACATTTTGTGATGTATTTGGAGATGATCGATTTGAGGATTTGGAGGTGATGATCGATTTGGGATTTTACGATTCGGGGATGATTGATTTGGAATTTCACGATTCGGGGATGGGGAATGGAGTGAAATCAATATATTAAAAATAATGAAGAAAAGAAAAAAAAAAGGAGCAATCGGGCCTAGCCTAGCTCCATCTTTAGTCCCGGTTACCAACCGGAACTAAAGATGGATTTTTACTCCTAGTTATTTTAATCCGGATTCATAGTCCCGGTTGAATAACCGGGAGTATAGAGGGTTCCCAACCGGGAGCCCCTTTCTCTACCAGTGCCACTACCACGCGTCAGGAACTCAGGATTGGTCCAAGCATGCATGCCAAGATCTTAGCTATGCTTCAACCAATAGCTAGCTTCTTTAGATTCCACCAGGCATACATACAAGGTGCTCGATAAAAAGTTCACTTGATATCGGTCTGCTATATTTGATCATTCCCCATTTCCCAGGTAGCTAGC